TACAGTAGTATTAGTGAGACCACACAGTCGTACCTTGTTGACAACTTTCTGCTGCTGAGAGTGTTTCTGTCTCAGAGTCGCAACTTCTCTCCACAGAGCCTCGTTTTCACTGCAACAAAACATGGACTTCTGAGGTCCCGGTCTACAGTCTGAGGTCCCGGTCTACAGTCTGAGGTCCCGGTCTACAGTCTGAGGTCCCGGTCTACAGTCTGAGGTCCCGTCTGAGGGTCTGAGGTCCCGGTCTACAGTCTGAGGTCCCGGTCTACAGTCTGAGGTCCCGGTCTACAGTCTGAGGTCCCGGTCTACAGTCTGAGGTCCTGGTGTGACTCACTGTTTCATGGCGTTGATCCTGGAGTCGATGGTTTCCTGTTTCCCCTTCATCATCTGGACGTTGCTCAGGATCTTCTTCACTTCGTCTGAGGACAGCTTGACGTCCTCCTGCCGACCTGCGGACACCTGGACCAGTGAGAGCAGAGACCGGGGGTTACCACAGACTGGGCTGGACCGGTCCAGGGTCACGGACCAACGTTTGGGAACGTACGTTAGTGACTTTGCGTTTGATGTTTTCCAGCAGACGTTCTTCTCCCCTGATGAAGAACGGATGTTGGAACTCTGTGTCGTCTCGCTCCGGTTTCAACAAACCTCCCTGCTCGATGTGGACCACCTTACGGAACCCGTCTGCACACAAGGCCGGACACAGGACCGAACTGGATCAGTGACACGAGGAACAGCTGTTCTCCTGTCTGTCCGACTGTTCTCCTCTAACACTGGTCTTCCTGACTGAGACTGTTCCTCTCTGTACCTCACCCCACCCCCCCCCCCCCGCCCCTCCCTCGGGGTGAGGATCAGCTGAGGAGCCCACTCTTCAGGGCTCAGCTCTTCATACTCACACATGTTCAGCTGTCTGATGAAGCTGGCCATGTTGTTGTGTTTGAAGTACTTTGGCAGAACTTCTTTGGAGAACTGTCCTTGGTCAAACACGTGGAAACTGGTCCCACTCTGGAACAGAACCACAGCTTTATTACCAGTTCATGACCCAAACAGACGTTACATTCAGAACATGTCACCACAGGAGCTAACACAGCTAACACAGCTAACACACACTACAACGGAACGAGCCCTGTTCAGGACGTCAGTACCGGGCTCCAGCAGATCAGGGGGTCGGTGTCCGGGTCCTCCACCAGGGTCCAAAGTTTGGTCAGGAAGGCCGGGACGTTCCCAGAAGGCAACATCGCTGCACCTCCTGCCGGAAACTCCATGGAGTACACACGATCAACGGGACTATGGACAGATAATCTGAGAAAGTGCTGTTAATCTGAGCTAACGAGGCTAACACTTAGCATGTTAGCATACAAGATAAGCACTGCCAGAAAGTAGTAAATCCAGTCTGATCACAGAGCTGATTCCGGGTCACAGGAAGTCCGCGTCGGTGTCAACAAAAAATGACTTTTGATGAAAAATCCGAGGTGGAAAAATGAACACAAATCCCAACAAACTAACAACTGCGTAACGATAGATGGACTGTCTCCTTTTGATGACGTCACATTGTTAGTAAAAACGGCTGCTCGGGCTCGGTGTGATGTCAAACATGCTCTTCTCAGCGTTTCCACACAAAAACACAAAGTCATGTAAATGTATTTAATGACGTCAGTGAATGAATACCGGGAGAGTGGCTTCAACGATGTCGTCACAAAACTATATATCTGTATATGTATGTAAATATCAACAACATGGGTTTGACCGGGGAATCCTGATCATCGGCCACTTAAAATAAGACCGTTGAACATTTTCAAGTTAACTAGTTACTTAGTTAAAGGTTAAAAGAATAAACAAAAAATCTTAAAAAATAAAACAAACAAATATCGAAACCGTATTTTAACGATATTCCGACTGACGGTAAATTCGGCCTCAGTTTAGTTTCCGTGCAGCTGATGCTACAAGTGACCAGTAGATGGCGTCAGCAGTGTTTCCTCTCCTTGTGACGTATGCACTGACCCCGAGCCTCCAGCTCCCCACGTGGTTTGTTTGAGGAGCTGAGTAGGAACATGAGGAGCAGCGAAAAACAGGAGAAGATGAAGAAAACAGGAGAGAAAACAAAGGCGAAGAGGAGCAAGGAGGAGCAGGAGGAGCAGGAGGAGGAGCAGGTGACACAAACGCACACACACATACACTGTCACACACACACAGACTGCACAAACCGACGGCTAACTGTTAGCATGCTAACATATAGACCAAAACACGTAGGAGGTTCTCAGAGGCTTTTTTGGAAACGATCCACGGTATGTTTAAAAAGTCCACAAAACCGAACCGAACCGAACCGAAGACGGGGCCGGCGTGTGTCCAATCAGGACGTCGCCAGAGTTAGTGAAGTGAGAGCAGCCGTGTGGACTTCTTTTCATGAATTCACTGGAGGTAAAACTGTAGTTTACAGGTTTAAAGTGAAGTACTTTCAGGAGTTTGAAGTATTTTGTTGGAGTACTTGATATTTCTAACCCTAAAGCCTCAGGTTAGGCTTTGTTAAACCGGGATATAAAGTGCTGCCTTTCATTCCTGAGCTCCACACCGTGTGTGTGTTGATGTGTATGAGTTCAGTTCACCTCTGCTGACTAGTCTCCTGGACAGGTGAACCTGGTTAATGGTTCAGGTTAACGTTAACCATCAGAGCAGGTCGTTTTAAGAAGTTTCACATCAACGTTAGCCGTTAGAGTCCGGTGGCGAGTACGTGGGGACAGGAAGTCCTCCCCCTCCTCCCCCTGATGTCACGGTGTTTCACCCAGATCTTCAACTTCAACAACAACAACAAAGCTGCAGACGAGGACGGAGGTGATGAAGATCTGACGGACAGCGAGGAGAGTGTGTTCTCTGGACTGGAGGATTCTGGGAGTGACAGCGAGGATGAAGAGGAAGGTGAAGACGAAGAGTCAGTGGAGGACGACGACGACGATGATGAAGAAGATGAAGATGAGAGCGTGAAGACGGAGCAGGTTCAACAGGTACGGTTTAAAAACACCATCATCATCTGTGGACGACCAAAGACGGTCAGAGAACCTCAGGTTTGATCTCATGTACCGACGCAGGGGGAACAGAAGGAGGAGGAGAAGGAGGAGAAGGAGGATGAGTACGCCCAGGACTCCTCAGACGAGGAGGTGAGTACTGTGCGTCTCCTGTTGTTTGTCTGCTGTGGTGGTTCACTGTAGTTGACGTCGTTGACGTTGACGTTGTGACCAGGACATCAGGAACACGGTGGGGAACGTTCCCATGGAGTGGTACAAGGACTTCCCTCACATCGGCTACGACCTGGACGGCAGGAAGATCTACAGACCAATCAGGAACAAGGATGAGCTGGACCACTTCCTGGACAAGATGGAGAACCCGGACTACTGGTGCGTCCTGCCTGTCTGTTAGCATCGGGCTAGGTGATGAAAAGCTAACCATGCTAATGTTTATGGTTGTGCAGGAAAACAGTCCATGACAAGCAGACAGGAAGTGACATCGTTCTGTCGGATGAGCAGGTGGAGCTGGTCAATCGACTCCAGAGAGGACAGTTTGGAGACGTCAACTTTAACGAGTACCAGGTACTGAGTCAGGAACCGGTTTTACTCCAACTGTTTTTACTCTTTGACCTCATGTCCCCCTCCCCTTCACCCCCCCCACCCCCCCAGCCCACGGTGGAGTTCTTCACTAAAGACGTGATGATCCATCCCGTCACCAACCGACCTGCAGACAAACGCAGCTTCATCCCTTCGCTCCTGGAGAAGGAGAAGGTACGGGAACTCCACGCCAGTCCCTCTGTCCAATAGTTTCACATGTTCATCTTTGACTCCGCCCCCTTCTCTGTCCCCGCCCCATCTCCTACCCACAGGTGTCCAAACTGGTTCATGCCATCAAAATGGGGTGGATCAAACCACGGCGCGTGGAGCCGGACTCGCGCGGACGTTTCTACGACCTGTGGGCCAATGAGGACTCGTCCATCCTGTCCAACCACAGGATGCATCTGCCCGCCCCCAAAGTCCAACTGCCGGGTCATCAGGAGTCCTACAACCCTCCGCCAGAGTACCTGTTCACTGAGGAGGAGGTGAGGCCGCACCTGTCTCACCCTGTCTCTCCGCTGCTGCCCTCCCCTGTCTCACCTGTCTCCCCTGTCTCCCCTGTCTCTCTGCAGCTGTCCCTCTGGGAGCAGCAGGATCCCTCGGACAGGAAGTTGCCGTTTGTTCCTCGGAGGTTCTCAAACCTTCGTCAGGTTCCAGCGTATCAGCGATTCATTCACGAGAGGTTTGAGCGCTGCTTGGACCTGTATCTGTGTCCTCGACAGAGGAAGATGAGGGTGAGTGCCACCAGGTGGCGTGCATCTCTAAGAGGCCCTGAGTCCGTCTCTGTGACACCCCTGTCTCTGTCCCTGTAGGTCAACGTCAACCCAGAGGACTTAATCCCAAAACTTCCCAAACCTAAAGACCTGCAGCCGTTTCCAACCACACAGTCTCTGGTACGTGGACAAGTCTGCCCCCTGCTGGTGTGGTTCAGACACGGCATCTTTGGCGTGACCTGTGTGTGTTTGTGTGTGTCCAGGTTTACAGAGGTCACACTGGTCTGGTTCGCTCCATCAGTGTCTCTCCATCAGGACAGTGGCTGGCTTCAGGTACCTCAGTTCAGACTCACACACAGACCAAACCTCATGGCGAAAATCAGAGATTTTAGTTCAGACCAAAGCCCATGGAGAAAATCAGAGATTTTAGTTCAGACCAAAGTCCACGGAGAAAATCAGAGATTTTAGTTCAGACCAAAGTCCATAGAGAAAATCAGTGATTTTAGTTCAGACCAAAGCCCATGGAGAAAATCAGAGATTTTAGTTCAGACAAAAGTCCATGGAGAAAATCTGAGATTTTAGTTCAAACCAAAGTCCATGGAGAAAATCTGAGATTTTAGTTCAGACCAAAGCCCATGGAGAAAATCAGAGATTTAGTTCAGACCAAAGTCCACGGAGAAAATCAGAGATTTTAGTTCAGACAAAAGTCCATGGAGAAAATCTGAGATTTTAGTTCAGACCAAAGCCCATGGAGAAAATCAGAGATTTAGTTCAGACCAAAGTCCATGGAGTCAGAGATTTTGTCACTGAGACAGTTGTTGATCCACTGCTTCCTCCAAGTTCATCTGTCTAATTTTTTTCAGCGCCATTGTGACCCACTGTGTTGTGTTTGTTTTGTGTGTGTGTGTGTGTGTGTGTTCAGGCTCAGATGATGGTTCTGTCAAGTTCTGGGAGGTCTGTTCATCTCGTTGCATTAAGACAGTCCAGGTGGGCGGAGCTGTGAAGGACGTGTCCTGGAACCCCAACCCTTCTGTTTGTCTCCTCGCTGTGGCCTTGTGAGTTGACTTTTCAGTCCTTCACGTCTTGGTGTTTGTTTTTTTTGTTGTTTTTTTTTTTGTCGGGGCTCCCCTCACACCAAAAGGGTTT